AAAAAAAAAAGGAGCATGGTGGCTTTGTAGGATAAGCATTGAATTGCTAACCACAAGGTCAGCGGTTCAAGCCCACAAGCTGCTCTGCAGGAGAAACATGCAGCTTTGCTTTGCAATGGTTTATAGCCTCAGAAACTCCGCACAGTTGGAACTGACTTGATGACACTTAACAACCACCAACACAACAAAGGCATTTAAAACTTCAAAAACAAAATCCTCTTATTCTTCATTCTCCTTTTCCGTAAACAGAAAATTAAGGCAATGAACTTAATTTATATTCAATATCTTGTAGTATCTTCTTCTCTTAAGTATAATTTGTATACTACATTTTTTTATTGCCACCCAGAGTCCAGTCCTGCTCTGAAAAGTCACTGATGTTTCCCTGGTACCACAACTTGCTTCTGATGACCTGTAGAATCACTAGATTATCTGAATGGCATTCTGGCCCTCAGTTGCTTCAAACAGAAACTGGAAGCACCCCAGAACCACTGTGGCAGCGCCTCTAGGGCCCGTAGGGATATTTTATGAGAAAGTGAGTCTTTCCTGTGAGGAACTCCCCTACTTTTCCACACAGAAAATTAAATCAATACTAAATACGGCAATATCTACTCAATTATATGAATCTTTCAACTGTCTTCTAGAAATTCCACACACCAAAAAGCAAGCTCAAAGCCATTGAGTCCATTCTGACTCACGGTGGCCCTATCGAGGGTTTCTGAGAAGCGAAATCTTTACAGGAGCAGCCAGCCTCGTCTGTCTTCCACGGAGCAGCTGAGTTTGAATCACTGACAGCGAGCTTACCATTAACCCACAGGAGAGGGGACAAGCAGCGTTTCCTTCTATTGAACAAGGGTCACCATGAGTCAGATTCAACTGGATGGCACCAAATACATTTTTTTTCCCCTCTGTTCTTCCATCATTTACAATTTTGTCTCCTTTTCTCAATATTTCTCATCCTTCAAGACTCCGATTCACTTCATCAGAATACTTCCCCTGATATTCAAATTAGGCTAAAACTTGGCATTTATGTTTCCACAGTACTTCTCAGCAGTCACCCCATTGCATTTATGCTGTATCTATTTTTATTACTTTTGAATTATGGTGTTGGAGGAGAATATTGAAAGGGCCATGGACTGCCAAAAAAACCAACAGATCTGTGTTGGAAGAAGTGCAGCCAGAGTGCTCCTTGGAGGCCAGGATGGCCAAACTTCGTCTCTCATACTTCGGACATATTATCAGGAGGGAGCGGCCGCTGGAGAAGGATATCATGTTTGGTTAAGGTGGAGGGTCAGAGAAAATGAGGAAGACCCCCAGTAAGATGGATTGGCCAGGTGGCAGCATCAATGGGCTCAAGTGTGGAAACAGTTGTGAGGTTTTGGCCTAGGATCGGGCAGAGTTTTGTTCTGTTGTGCATAGGGTCGCTATGAGTCAGTACTGACTCGATGGTATCTAACAACAATTTTTACTACCTCAGGTCTCCTACAGAAAGGGCTGTACCTTTGCTACCTTACTATCCCAGACTCAGTGGTAGCCAAGGTGGATGGCATTCATTAGCTCATATACTTACCCTATTTTCTCGTCAGGTATTGTCAGTTGCATATTTCACTGACATCTAGTGTAAAATATATCCTTAATTAAACTCATCATCTTCACCCTTTTTTTATACAACCTCAGCCCTTAGAAGCATCTATACCATGTCCCTTGGCCAGGATCCCTTCATGAGCATAGCTTCCAGATGCTGCTGCTCTACTCGACTGTATCTCATGTTGACCTCCACACCCTGCTTCCATCATCACCATCTGACTTCAGAATCCTGCTATTTGCCTACAGTACATAATATGATGACTCCCAACAGCTTTCTCTGAGGCTATCTATTTCATTTCATCTAGCACTGGGGCCATCTTCCTGAAGAACTGCTCCAATCTAGTCACCAGCTTTGCCCACAGCCCCACGGATTCATGAATCATGTATAAATGCCTGTGCTTGATCTTCAGACCTTTCACAGCAAGTTTCATCTAACCTTAATGATGTAGAGTAGGAGAATAGAGAAGAGGTATATCTAGTCTTAATCCAACCATACTACACAAGTGTCTGTCTTGTTAGTAAGTTCTGAAATGGTACAAAGGAACAGTTGGGTATTATACAAACAGCATTGTACTGTTCTCCTGCACAGAGAACTCTGATGGATTTCCATGGCTGTAAGTTCAGAGTTCCAACTACTGAACAGGACTTGGCTCTCATAGACTCCTCTCACATACTGGACCTTTGCATATAGCTCCCCTGCACAGAAGCTTCACCCTATGATTCTTTGTATGTCTACTGATCCTTCGTGATTCGCTTCTAAAACGCCTATCCTATTCCAGGTTAGCATAACTCTACCATTCCCATTTATTTATTCCAGCTGTTTACTTCTGTCTATCCCCTATTCTATGTGCATTGAAACAGACATCTTCCTCTTTCGATTCCTTGGGGTCCACCACAGTATTCTGGTACTTAATGCATTTTAATGACTACGTGTTTAACTTCCAAAGGCTCTACTATCAACCAGCGCCATGTTCTACTTGATCGACAGGCCCATTGGTCTTTATGTTGTGTTCCATACAAATCCACAACCCTTGCATTTTCTAAATCCCATGTTGTGTTCCAATGCGATTGCCAACTTTTGATAGTTGAAATTTCTTCTATCTTTCAATGCACAAAGGAAAAAAATTGTAGTGTAACGCTTTGGTTTATCTAATTTCTGAAAACTTTTAAACCTATAATACTTTGTCAGACTTCCTCACAATTATAATACATTTTACCAAATATTAGTTACTCAAATCATCGCTCTATTCCATATACTAGGATGTAAACTCCTTCATAGTGAATACCATGCTTTATGTGCCTATCTTCTCAACCACATCATTCCTGGCACAAAGAAAACACTCAGGGGCTCAATGAATGAGACTGTGTGTTATAACGTATACAAAATAACCATGCAACAGAACATGAACAACGAAAGGTGGGTGGATGTACGTGGAAGAGTCTTTCATTCTATGTATAAGAAGAAGTCTACAATTTTATAATCACCGTACTGAGGACTCCTGGTATGGTGCTATAAAGATAAGCACTGGACTGTGAACCACAAGGTCTGCAGTTCAAATTCACCAGCAGCTCCTTGGAAACCCTGTACAGGGTTGCTCTGAGGTGGGACCTCGATGGTACTTTAATACAACAACAACAACGCACTGAGCTGTAACTTTCTTTTTGACTTATCAGCAATTCTATTCTTCATCAACTTACTTTATATTCTCATTTGCAGGGACTTCTGGCAGTTGCACAGTGATCATGCCATCCAAGTTGGTCTTCCCAATGAAGGCAGGCTTGGTACGTAGTACATCCGGGGCGGTCTTTGCAGTGACCCTGTGCTGAAGCCCACCAGCACTGTTCCCGCGATTTGTCAGCACAAAAGAATATGATTTCTCTGGCTTCAAGTTGACAATTAACTTCTGTGTGGCTCGGCCATCGACCTCTTCCACCATTTTCCCATCGTCATAAAGAATCTAGAGAAATCCAACCAATCAGTGAGGTTTGATTATCCACAAAGCAAAACATCTTTTCCAAACCAATGTGCACTTGCTAAAGAGAAACTATCTATGAGATAGTGATCTCTAAAACCCATTAGTGTCATAATTTTAGAGACGGCTTCAATTTTCCTGGTAGTTTGTCTACAAATAATCCCAAGTCTATCTAAATGCATAACAAAGAAATGTATGCTTATTTTACAATATGTGGCCATCAGTTATATGCGATCTTAATGGAATTTATGCAAACATGATCCAGGTTTTCAAAATATTACTCCCATCACTATATTTTCCCCTTCACAAAGGTTTCCAAGCCTGTCCCTAAATATATTTTTGCATTTAAAAATATTTCTCTACTCATTTCATAACTTTGCTCTGCTTGGTAACATTTCTTAATGGCAAACCAGACCTTAAAATGTGCAAAGAATTCAGGCCAAGATAATAAATTCAAATACACTAAGGAATGTTGTTGTTAAGTGCCGTCAAGTCAAATATAACTCATAGCAACCCTATATAAAGTATCTGAGGAGCAGCTGATGGGTTTGAACTGCCAACCTTGTGGTATGTAGTCCAGTGCTGATCTTACAGCGCCAAGCAGAAGTTCACTCTAAGGAATAGTGTGTTATAAATATGTAGGAAGTCTGTAAATGTCCTTTTCTACTGGATAAACACAAGTACTTGCTTAGATTGAGGTGGTGTAAGCTGGAAAATAGGAGCTCTGGTAGCATAGTGGTTACGAATCGGGCTGCTACTCTCAAGGTCAGCAGTTCGAAACTACCAGCAGTTCTGTGGGAGAAAGATGAGGCTTTCTTCTCCAGTAATGATTTATAGCCTCGGAAACCCTATGCAGTGTCGCTATGAGTCGGAATTGACTCCATGGCCCATAAGCATCCCCACCACCAAGCTGGAAGTATAAGAGGGACCTGTGAGTAACACCAGCCTTGAGTTGACCACCCCTCCCCCACCCTTCATTAGAGTGGGTAGGTCACATGGCACCAAACTCAATCTCTGACGTGAAAGCTACTAATGAGAACAGCTCATAGTGAGTGGCCCAATCAAAGCGGTCTGTAAGACTAGCCGATGACCTACCCAGGTGAACTACCCCATCCGCTTTTACCCATATCTTACAAACTAGACAACCACGTACTTTGAAAGGCATGGCCGAATTATAATTCTCTGGAATCTCCCAAGACAGCAACACTGAAGTCTTCATTACTGCTTTGACATGAAAATTTTTTGCAAACACTGCTGGAAAAGGAAAAACAGTGTATTGAAACTATTTCTAAAGATGTACGACCTGTCCATTTTCACCACGGATCACAGGATTTACGCTAGCCGCTGTCTACGTTGACCAGAGAAAGCAGTGTGTTCGCCTACCTGTTCAGAGCATTCATTTTAAATACCACATTTTCAGAAAGATCTCTCCTTTCCCTCCAATCCAGTCAACTACTTTGTGCTTGCCTTACCTGAAGACTTTTGGGTGCTGTCAGCCAGACTTGCTGGGCTTTCTATAACTGAGACCTAAGGCATCCAAAATGTATTAGGGTTTACATACATTACCTTTCCACTTGGGCTGAACCTAGCAATAGGAATGGGTCGATCAGTTATTTTATAGCTTCAATATACTGATTTCCAAAGACCGACATTCCTTTAAAGGAGGAAGGCCAGAAGCAGACAAATCCTACCTTGATCCACGGGTAGTGTCCTGAACTGGACACTGGGACTATATGGCCCGGGCCCTTTGCTCGTGTGAGCACGTACTTTTACATCGTATGTGGTATCTGGTTTTAAGCCACTGAGTGTCAGAGTGGTGTCAGCTGGGACAATCAGCTGCTCCATTGGAAGAAGTGGGATGTTGATATCCCTATAGAGAACTGTATACTTGGTGATAATGCCGTTTCTCTCTGCCAGGACTGGTGGCTGCCAAGATAACTGGACGGAGGTAGAAGTGGTGCCATCGGAGTGGAGGTTCTGAGGGAATCCAGCTGGGACGTCTTCAGGAATGGAAATCTCCTTCACCATCTCTTCCCCGAAGCCCACTCTGTTTCTGGCGGAGAGCCTGAATATGTAGGAGGTGCCCTTGTGGATATCCGTAGCTGTGAAATGATCTTCTTTCTCAGAGAACTCAAGAGTCGTGAGCAGCTCTAGATCCTTGCGGCCAAATTTGAGACGGTAGCCCTGGAGGGGTCCAAAGGTGTCAACAGGCGGGTGCCACTGAATGAGGGCCGTATTCATCTGAGTGTGGCTGATCACAAGCCGGGGTTTCCCTGGAACTGGGGCACATAGGAGGGAGCAGTCAGGCTGATGAGTACAAATGTTCACAGTGCCGCCATTGCTGACGAAACTTGCATTTATTCAGAAAAAACAAACAGATAAACCCTGAACCTTGGTCTACGTAACCAACACACAAAGCAAAAGCAAAAAAACTCAAACCAGTTGCTACTAATCAGTAATTTAGATTCACGGCAACCCCATGTGTTTCTGCCTGGAAATACGGTCTCTCACTTATTCTGTTAAAAAGGAGACTGAGATATTGGAATCTGATGTTGTTCTTAGCTGGTGTTGAGTCTGCCCCCAATTCATGGTGACCCCATGCTCAAGAAAGCCAACCTCTGTCTGGTTCGGTGTCATCCCTAGGATCAGACCATTGTGAGTCATAAGTTTTTCATTGGCTGAACTTTGGAAGTACATATCCAGGCCTTTCTTATGCTGAAGTTCTGCTGAACCCTGTTTAGCATCATTTGTTGTTGTTACGTGCCATGGAGTCGGTTCTGACTCATAGCAACCCTATACAGGGTTTCCGAGGCTATAAATCTTTACGGGAGCAGAAAAACTCATCTTTCTCCTGCGGAACAGCTGGTAGTTTCAGACTGCTGACCTTAAGGTTCACAGCCTGATTCGTAACCACTACGCTACCAGAGCTCCTCCAGAGCTCCTTAGTAAGATGGAAACCTTCCCTGACAGATGAGTGCTGGTTTTATGTGAGATGTACCGGCTAAAAATCAACCCCGATCGCCCATGTGAACGTCAGGATTTCTATCACTATACCTCCAATGCTTCATTAGACTATGAAAACTGATACAAAATAGGAATCTTACAATGGTAGTATGTAACCACGTCACACTTAAAGCTTCACACATAAAGGCTCAACACACAGAAAAATGAATCTGAGTAAAGATGAGTCAGTTCCATACACGTGGTAAGAATGGCAATTACAACACATATTTGTTGATTTATCAGAAACCCTATCCAGGGTCCCTAGGAGTCGGAACCTAGTCAAGGGCACTTAGCCACAATAACAAAGAATAATAATTACAACAAATATGTGTTGATTGCTTGGAAACCCTATACAGGGTGGCTATGTGTCGGAACCTAGTCGAGGGCACTGAACCACAATTACAAAGGAAGAATGATAATGACAACATATATGTGTGGCTTTTGTACATTTCATAAACCGGGCGCTAGTCTCAGATCATTACAACTCCTATCTCATTTGATTTATGTTCCTCACTCCACGGTCTGATTAGCTATTATCATCATAGCTCCATTTTAGATCACAGGAAAATGAGGTCCAGAGATACAGAAAACTGTCCAAGGTCAACTACCTAATGAGTGTGAAAGTTGTAGGTCTGCCTCAATCCATAGCTTTGGTATTTAGCTATACTGGTAAGTTACTCCATATTAAAAAAAAAAACTGTACAAGATAACATGGTTTAGACTTACTAGGCATCTAATCTGTACCTTTGCCTAAGCTTTACATCCACACACTCGCCCTCCTCAAGTTCTTCATCTGTTAAATGGGGCTTATGTAAAGTCCTACTTATATTACTGTTGTGAATACTAAGTGAGGAAATGGCATGTAAAGGTCTTAGCACGATGCTTTGCAGTCTATTAACACTAGTAGTAATTATGAATCAGCAGAATATTGAGCTTTGTGTTGACAGGGGCTGTCTTTGATGACTACTGAATTAATTTATTTAAAGGTATATAATATCTGTGTGTCACTGCGGCTTAATGTGCTGGGCTGCAAAGTCAGTCTGAATCGCAAGGTCAACAGTTCAAGTTCACCAGCCACTCCTCGGAAACCCTATACAGATGGCTATGGGTTGGAATCGACTCGATGGCACTTAATAACAACAACATCATGTTCAATATACCCGTGAAGAGTTCTAATCTGCTTATTCAGAGTCTTCTTTCATCTGCCTCTTTTAAATAATGGGGAGCTACAGTGTCTGGAACCCATAGAGCACAGAACTGGTACAGAACAGAGTCAGGTCTTTCTGTAGAAAGGGATTAGGTAGGGGAAGACAAGAAGCGTCACCAGAACCCAAATGAATCTAGCTGAGTGAAAGGATCCACATGATAGGAAAAATGGAAGGACAGCTTGCATTAATGGGTGACTATCAATAAAAGACAGCATCATGGGCATGTAGATAAAGGAAAAGAAAGATGATGAGACAACACACAGAGACTATTATCCTACAGAGGATTTAGTGAACATATTCATCTTTGTATTTCAGAAAGTGGAGACCCAAGGGGTAAGACGTATCTCTTGTCTTAACCAACAGATAAATGGTTTCACTTGTTTCACGTGCAGGTAAGATTCACAGTTAATCCATGATATATGGGAACAATGTTCTTGATGTTTATAATGGCAGTGGTAAACAGGTGCGTAGAAGGCTTGCCCAGCTGCCTAACCTCTGTGTACCGTGTTTTCTCCTAGAATATTCATTCTGAGGTCTTAGCAACCAACCAACCAATTCTTGGAGCATAACCCATTCATGAATGGGAGAGCACTTGACTTTTCTCCCACTTGTTTTCATTATCTTTATTCGAAAATCTCTCTTTAAGGCAGACACTGGCAGACATTCTAAAATATCCTTTATGAATGGAAAACATTTAAGTGATTGTTGTTGTTATGTGCCGTGGAGTTGGTTCCAACTCATAGCGACCCTGTGCAGGGTTTCTGAGGCTGTAAATCTTCACTGGAGCAGAAAGCCTCATCTTTCTCCCATGGAACAGCTGGTAGTTTCAAACTGCTGACCCTGATGTTAGCAGCCCGATTCGTATCCACTATGCTACCAGAGCTCCTTATTTAAGTGATATCCCCATTAAAAATGTCAGTGGCAGTGTTCAGGATGAAAAGTCCATGGTGAATGTTTGCTTTCAGCAGACAACACATCTTTCAGTACAAGAAACCCACTTAAAAGTACTGAAGACATGTAGAACTCTCAGGCAGCAATGCGTTCACCAAGGACAACACATTCTGTCCAAATATTCTGAAAGTCTTCCTCCAAGGCACTGCCTAAAAGTATAACTACATGATCCTTTTGTGGAGATGTATGTTAGGTTAAGGAAAAGGACACATTTTAAAAATTTTACTTATATAAGCCATAGATATAGATTGCATTTTAACAATATTTGTCAGCCTTTATAGTTACTTTGATAATATCTATTCTATTTTGTTAATATTGCTATGATAGAATGTTGGAGAAATGCAACAGACTTATGAATTCTCACAAACATACATACATACACAAACCAAGCCAGATTTTGAGAACTGTGCCCTTTTCCGTGCCAGATAAAGTTTCAACAGGATGATCACCTTTGTTTTCTGATGTTGGCATGTGATTTCTTTTCTGGGCCATAAAGGCTCATGGACTTGGGTCATGACATAAAATGAGCGCTCTAGAAGAGTGAGCATCAGTTCATATCTACTGGTGTCCACTGCTGTGCCAGGAGTGGCCCAGTCTACTGTCCACGTACAGGCCTCCACCGGTCCTCATTTCCCCGGCAGAAGTGCCTCTCTGGGTCTGAAATCTACCAGACAGCCAATCTGGAAAACCCGAGAAGCTCAAGCACAGGATTCAGAACAGAATTAAATGCTCAAGACAGCTAGAGGGAAAACTCCCATCATCATTGGCAACATGAAAGGACATTAAACCTTCTAAGAGTATCTGAAAATAGATGTAGACTATTACCTTGACTAAAGGTTCTAGAGTACTTGTATTCATGCAGGTGGTAACACAGAGAATGAAAACGTAAAAAAAAAGGATGAGGCGAATTCTACATCACTGCATATATATGGTAAAAAATGTCCTCCAAAATGTCACCTATTTTGCAATGAAACAGGTCTTTTCTAGCTTCCAGAAACTCTTGATGTAAGAAACATTTACCAACTAACTATATTATAGATTAGAACAAAGGCAGTTGGGCAAGAAAATCAGTGTGGAGACAGCAGGGTC